TATTTTTCTTTTTAAAATTATTTATAATGTATAAATATAAATGCGTTAAATCCTTTTAAAGAATCTAAACACTTTAATTATAAAAAGAACCTGCGTATAGTCATGACGTGGATGACACAATATCCAAACATTGAGGCGGAACACTATATTTGTGATAAATGTCGCAAACGATTATCACAAAAAAATGTTGAAAATATAAATTCTGATAGCGAATATGTAAATAACAGCATAACATCGATAGATAAAATCAATATAACTTTAAATGAATATGGAATATCTCCTATCAAGAAAAAAATACTATCCAAAAAAAAGGTAGCAAAAATATCAAAAGCTATTTCAGATATAATAATTAACAATCCAGAATCAGATACAAAAGATAATAACGATATACTCAATAACATGAAATTTCAATATCCTAATTTATCTAAAAATCAATTGCTGACTATTCTGCCTCCTAATTGGAGCGCAAATAAAATAAAAACGACATTCAACGCTACATATCATATGACATATAATCCCAATCATTTTCAAAGAAAAGGGAATTCTTTTAACTCGAAATAGAAAGCCTGCTATCTCAATCAAAAAACAGTTGATATTGTTAAAAGAATTTTTTGCAGTTATGTAGTAGGGATTACCAGGAAAAAAAGATTGCATATCTATCATTGAAAAGGGGGAACGAGTAAATGCTCAAAAAATAGTTCTTAATAAATTAAAAGAATTATATAATCATTATAAGGCTAGTAATTCAAACATAACAATTGGATTTTCCAAATTTGCTAGCTTATAGCTGGGGCTAGCGGAACACATAGTGCTACAACCTGAATATTAAACTTATGATTTTAGGCTGTGAATTAGCAACATTGACTAAAAATGGTGAGGATACATTAACAACTTATAGAGATGTTATAGGCAGAATGATTTGCAATCCCCCGTTACCCACCTGTTATTTTGGTGACTGCAACGAATGTCCTGGCTCGGCACTCTTAAAAGAACGCATCGAAAAATTATTTATAAAAAATGATATAGCTCTTGTTACGTTTAAACAGTGGGTTTCGGTAGATAGAACAACTCTGGAGACTATTTCTCAATCTTCAGACGAATTTATTAATTATTTTTTCGATAAAATGAATATTCTCATACGCCATTCATTTATTTGTGAACAACAAAGTTCATTTCACAATAACCTTAAAAATAATTTAGAAAATAATCACTAATTATTTGTGACTTTTCAAAAAATTATTCCTTTATTGTCCAAGACCAAGTTCAGGGTTATCATTGGACAACTTCGCAAGTTACGTTGCATCTATTCTCAATTTATTATAAAATAGAAGATCAAATAAACAATCTAAGTTTTTTGGTAATATCGGAATCCTTAATTCATAATACTGTTTCATTCCATTTATTCCAATCGCAATTTGATTCATTTTTTTTAAAATAAATTCGACACTCCACCAGAAAAAAATCGCTATTTTTCTGATGGTTCAGCAGCGCAATATAAAAATAGGAAAAACTTCATCAATGTTTGCTACCATGAAATCGTTGTTGGTGTTCAAGCAAAATGGCATTTTTTTCCTACGGCACATGGTAAAAGTGCACAGAAAGGTTAGTTGCCAAGGCAAGCTTACAAAGACCTTATACTTATCAAATAATTACACCTTTACAATATTATAAATATGCGGAAGAGCATATAAAAGCTATAAATTTTTCTTATGCCACCACCAGAGTATGAGGAAGAAGAGATAAGGCTAAGTGAAAGATTTAGTAAATCTATCTCAATACCTGGGAAACAAAAAATTCATGCAGTGTTTCTGATTGGCTTATATAAACTCAACAATAAACTATTCTAATTCGCTGACATTTATTGTGGAGAATATAGTATATCCACGTGAGGATCTGTTAATCGATGAGATTAGAGGATATGTAACATGTGCATATGAAAAGATTGGTGATTAGGATTTGTACAAGAAGTGAATGCAATTAGAGATGAAGTAAAAATTAATTTTCTTCACCCTAAAGGACCAGCAAATTCTTTTGTTTATTCAGCTGCACAATATATCCTTTTCATACCAAAAAATAATATTTTAACAATAGAGCCCATCAACGGCTACTGGGCGTACATAAAATTTATCGCAAAACGAAATTATCATGACGTCAAAAAAACTAAATTTAATGAAAAACCGAAAATAGGTAATATCTTTCATGAATTTTAATTTATCTATTATATTTTCAAAATTTATAAAATAATTTTCGAAAATTAAAATTTCTTATAAAAAAAAGATTATAACCGCAGCTAAATAATCTCATTTCATGATATTAATGATAGAAAATCTTGTTATTTAAAAAAGTTTAAAAATAATAATTATATAACAAAACACGTTATTTTATAGGCGCCATCTATTTTTGAAAAAAATATTTATTTTTTGATTTTTAAATCGTAATAACTAAAAAACCCATGGCTGTCCCAAGTTTAAATTTTTTTATAAATAGATAAAAGGTTAGAGAATAAGAAAATATTTAATTCAAAAAAAAATGGAAAGCGAAACACCTGGATATTTTATGTTTAAAATTTATAACGTAAATAAAAACCGCAACAATATTATTTCAAAAAAATCTTTAATATTAATAAAAGGCCTTTAATAGAGTTACAAAATGACATATAACTTATATTTTTAAAATCATGATTTTTAACTTATCCCAATTTCAAAATTGACCATTGATATCTCAGGAACTATGAGAACTAGGGGGCTAAAATTTTGGTCGATGCTTTCAAATGAAATTCTCTCAGCATACAAAATATTATCGAAATTAAAAAGGTCGGGCCGAAAAGTTATCGATTTGGTATGGAATTACCCAATACTTTTTTATTGTATATAATTTCATAATAATAATAAATTAATATTTGTAATATTTTACTATCTTTTCCACTTCTAATTAAATTTACTCCTCATTATTTATAAGTATGTCAATGGAAACTATTATAATTCGTCATTTCATATATTATTTTTTTCGATAAAAATAATAAATACAATGTACATAATTTGAAGACACAAAAAAATTTATTATATCTTGACTTTGAAAAAATTATTTATTTTTTTTAAGCGACGATCAAATTTTAAAAATTGATCGAAACTTGGTTGAACATATTTTATTAATACTCATTAATATGTTATATGGGATATAATAATTATAAATAGTGTAATAAATTGAGTTTCTTTTATCGATAGATAATTTCTATAATTGAATGAAAGCCCCATTTAAAGTGAAGAAAATATTATAATTTATATTTACAAGATGAATAATCCTTTAAATTATATCAAATTGTTCAAAAAAAACCATTAAAAACTGATTTAAATATAATTTTATTCAAAGACGCCCCCTTTCGGAAATATATTTATACACTTTAATGAAATCATGTATTACTTGATTTTCTACTTTGAAGGCGTATATCTTTGGATCTAGTTGAGCTGGCGCTCTAAAATTTGAATTTTATTAGCATAAATAATTAACATGCCAAGTTTCTTTCATTTTTTAGATGGTCGGCCGAATCACTGGTCGATTTGAAATGTTATTACGCCTCATTTTTTATTTATGAATATTTAAATGTCAAAATGAGGTAAATATTATAATCTAAAGGATTTTAGTTTTTTTTGCCATTCATTCTATTTGTTGAGTATATATTTTAAAAATAAATTTTATTGTTTTAAATAATAAAATCATGAAGATATTGTAATAACAAGAAGAAAAAAAATAGTGAAACAAAAGCTTTAATAATTGGCGCTTTAAAAAAGGATAGTATCAAAAATATTGCATCATGTTTTAAAGTAAGCCATAAAACAGTGACAAATATAAAATACTCCTATCAGTTATGAAATAAATATAGTTTACCTAAAAGAGGCTCACGTGCTCGCAAAATCTAGAATAGGAAGAATATAAATAATTGTATAAATTTGAATTGCACTTTTATCCTTAAAATAGTTATGTGAAATAATTAAGATATGAGGTAGAAATATCAAAAAATACGGTATCAATAGTACTATCTGGATTTAAATATAGTTTTAAAGAGTATCACTAAGCACAGTTAGAGAAAATACCGAATCGAGATTTGCAGAAAATACGCGAATTGGTTTGTAGATGTAGCTTATATGAAATAAAAATTTATCTTTATCCATGATAACGGGTTTTCAATATCAATGAAGCGGTTATAAGGATATTCACAAATAAATAAAAAGGCTATTAAAAATGTTCAAGAGATAAAGACAATGAATTATACTATCATTGCTGCTCTCACGATTGCGAGAATATTCAGATTCGAGGTTCTTGATTACCCCTGCATCGCTATGCACTTTAGCAACTTTATAAATGAAATAGTAAATCATTTTGAAGAAGGTAACATGATGAATATTATTTTTGTGATGGATAATGTTCCATTTTATCATAACCATACAATTAGGGAATCTATAGAAAGAAGAGGGCATACATTGAAATACTTACCACCTTACAGTCCTTATCTTAATCCCATTGAAAATGTGTTTTTTCAATGGAAAGATTTTGTCAGAAATCAAAATCCCAATAACGTGGAGGAATTAATTCGGATCAAGGAGAGAGAGCAATATATGAGGAGAATGCAAAGAAGAAATATTGAAACCTATATTCCAAAATGGGGAAGATGGGAAATTATTAATGATTAATACAAATTTTTGTTTCTCACTATATTATACCAGGTAGAACATCAAAAAATAATTTGGACAGGACTTTATCATTTTTTTTTGACACTTTTCTTTTTTGATTGTACTTTTTCCTAAGCCTTTGGGACTTTGCCTTTTTTGAATGAGAAACCCTGTCATTTTATTAGAAATTTATTTAAAAATAAATAATGAATTGATAAAGATTTGAGATTTATATTATTCTAGGTTTAAATGTTTTAAGTTAAAAAATAGCATTTTATAATAACCATTTTTTTATTAATATTACATGAGCATAATATAAGAAATTTTTTTTAGGCTAACCCTAGATCTGGTTCTACATTCCCGGACTTAAATAACACTTCCCCCTTTTCCCAATTATTAAACACCTTCATGATGCCCCAGCAGGTCAACACTTCTAGCTTTTCTGGCCCTAGTCCTAATGTAATGAACTTTTTGGGAGCCCTTCTAGGACAGTTCATTTTGCCGAGTCAACAGACAGATCAAAGTACTGCCTCTGATAGTAGCAACATTACAAACCCATCAATATACGATTTTCTAGCCGGTTTTTCACACTTATTTCCAGAGTTTGATTTTAGCGTCGGTACACCCGTGACCTCGTCTAACCAAACTACGACTGATAATGAAGGTATATGTTTTTAATGTTTATCATATTTGGGGAAAGGTTCGAACCAGCCATATTAATTAAAATATTGTTTTGCTAAAACTTAAGTGTTTGATAAATCTCTCCACTCAAACTGCTTCCAAAAATGAACCGCCCTTCTGTTTTTTCCAACTTACTCCTAAACCTCTATTAATTAATTAATCTTCTCATAACATTACAGATCTGCATCGATATTACTATTAGTGATTTACCATTGAGGTTAATTATGTAATATGTGGAAATAAATTGCTTAGATTAGAAGAAAAAAATATGAACCGAAAACGAGATCAATTCATTTTGTCGAGAATGTGTTATATTTTTTTGCTATCTGTATTCGAAATTTTAAGGCCTAGGTATAAGCCATTTTTTCAAATCGGTGAAATCTAAATTTTTGACAAGTAATTTTTTAATATAACGGTGCATTCACATTAGTGAGCAGCAAGTAAACATGACATGATATTAAGCGATAGAGCAGATAATGTGCTGTAAGCGTCATTGCATTCATGTTAGTTGCGTCAAGCATATTTTAATATTTTTTTAAAATTTGGTATCCATTACAACTCTAAAATAAATTCTACTATATCGTTACAAGAAAAAGTAATCTGAATGTTAGAAAAGAAGAGGAAGGAGAGTTTGCACTACTTTTCCCACATGTAAAGAATTCTGAAAAGTTTTACAATTATATGAGATTAACCAGAGTTAATATTTCATTGTATAATCTAAATTTTTGTATTCAAAAAACCTTATTATATTTTAACCCATATTAATACTCCTTCATGATATTACAAACATTATTATATGGTAAAGGTAGATTTGTAATAATTGAAGATGGAGGTGTTTACTTAAATTCTTTGTTATCAAAAATAATTGAGAACGGAGATTTAGATCCACCTAAAAATTTACCAAATCAAATATAATTCTGCCTCATGTTTTTGTTGCAGATGATGCTTACCCTTTAAAATACTATATTATGAAACCTTTATAAAGGTAAGTTAGCACATTCAAGAAAATTATAATTATTGTCTATCTGTATTATTATATGTTTGTCTTAAATAAAAACAATGGAAGAATAAAATCATATAAAAACCCTCCAATAAAATAATAACAAATGCAATATAATATTTATTATTTATTTTAATTAGTTTTTCTTTCCCCTCTCCGATCTTTGTGCAAGGGTTTGCTCAAGCATAATATTGATCCAAAAGTTTGTTGATAATCTACCTTCTTTTATTTTTTCAATTTCAAGAACTTGCTCAAATAAATCTAAATTAAAATAATAAATATATTTACAAATGCAAATTACCTCGAGCAGTATCCTTCTTTTTAATTAATTCCTTGCAAGATATATATGATCCTATTTTAGATTAACTTTGACTAGTTTTTATGCATGGAATTTCAACAGCTATGTAATAATAAAATCTTAACCTAATATATTTACTGTAATGTAATTTCAGTAGTAGTTATTCTTTTATTTTGTATCCAAAATCATCTTTTCTTTAAAATAATATCAAATAATATATTAAATAAAAAAATAAACATTTTCCAAAAAACTACAATTTATTACACATCATTTACTATCTTCATATTGATATTTTTCATTTCATCTGTTCAAAAAATGCCTTAGCAATATTTGCTTCATCAATATTGAGTTATTTATTTCAGATTTTTATACTGTTTCCCTCGCTGTATGGGTGTAATTAAAATCAAGTTATGGTACAATTTCCAAGTGGGAATGTGATTAACCCCTACCCACTCTGTAGAGATTTTATTTTTTATGCTCACTTATAAAGCAATATCTTAGATTTTTCCATGTTGATTTGGCCATCTCTACTGCATAAGAAAAATATTTCAAATTAATATACTATTTAATTATCTGTTTCAAAATTATTTTCCACATCAATGTATTTCCATATTGAATTTTCTGTATGTTTTTATACCCTATGTATCTTTTGTCATAAAGACAAGGATGGTACCTTATTGAAGTAATGAAAGCTTCTTTATTGATTATCTTTAACAAATAATTTAAAATATATATCATAATATTTATTTATTTAGTAAAATATATATAACATTATTATTTTAATGGTATTTCAAAAATTCACTTGCAAATTATCTATTTGAACATATTGTAGTTAGTCGCTTTGAAGATGACTAAATGTTTTGTAATTTGATTTATTAGGGTGCATTCATAGTAGAGAGCTACACGACAAAATACAAATATGTGTAAATACCAATGACTATTCATAGTGAGCTTTTTCGACACGACAATCCCGCGAAATCTACTTATAATTAATTATCAAACAAAATAATTATATTTGGCCTAAAGTCATATTCAAAATTAATTCCAACAGCAACAGTCGTCATTTTTATTGATTAATTTTACATAGCCATTTTTCTAAGAAATTAAATTAACGTATTCATTATCCAATTTATTTACTAATTTAAAAAAATTATATAAAATTAATAAGCATCTTTTATTTCTTACCAAACAAATTTAAATGTCTACAAAAGTTATTTCTATTCCAATAAAGTTCTGTAACCCCTTTCGAATAAAATCTCATTCATTACGTTACGATCTTAGAGGTGTTTTACAGTTGATGATACAAGTGAATTCTAGCTTATTTAATCAAAAAAATTCTAGTTTGCCGGAAAAATTTAAAAAATATTCAACAAATACCATCCTATCTTTTACTTCTACGATCTCAATCACATTAACTTCTTCTAACTTACCCTCTACCTCAACTATTAATGAAACATTTAGTGATCTGAACCTGATCAACCATGCAATAATCCCGAATCTTACACAGATTTTAATACTTCAATTTCAACTTTAAATGAAACTTTGCCATTTTTAGGGGAGACACCTCTTAAAAGAAAAGGTTAAATGAAAAAAATATCCTGTAAATAAATTTTTGAAAATTCAGGGGAAAAATTTTTTTTTAAATAAATCTAGAGGATTAAGCAAAAAAAGATGAAGCCGAAACCATAAATCAACTGAAAGAAAAATTTGTTTATAAGTTCTCGCAATGAAAAAATACAAATTTAACAAATCTTGGACGCTATATAAAATTGAAAAGGAATACAATAAGGTACCATTCTTATCTTTATTACAAAAGATGTATATGCAAAAAATTAAGAGGGATATTGATCAAGGTAATTTGCATTTGTAAATATATTTATTATTTTAAACTAGTTTATTTGAGCAAGTTCTTAAAATTGAAGAAATAAAAGAAAGAAGATTATTAACAAACTCTTGGATAATATTATGCTTGACCAAACTTTAGCAAAAAGATCAGAAATGGGAAAAAAATTAATTAAAATAATTTTTGATATATTATTTGAATATGAAACTGATGAAGATTAATAATAACTATTATATTGCATTGTTATTATTTTATTGGAGGCCTTTTATATTATTTTAATTATCACATTATTTTTATTAAATTATAAAGTTATAATTGCCATGATAATTTATTTTTATAATAATATTCAGATGGCATCTCTAATATCTTTAAAACCCTTTGAGGGACTTTTTATAGATAGATGATTCCATAAATAATCTATTTTGTTTAGGATCTAGAGTATTCTTGGGGTGGAATTCTATGTTTTCTCTATTAATCAACAAGTTGTGTAACAGTGCACAAGTTTTTATAATTATTTCACTGTTGGCAACATTGGTATCCATGGCTCGATTAAAAATACGCCATTTAGATGCCAAATATGCATTCCACCATTCTTCTGGCGCTTGAAAGACGATAATTATAATTTTTATGAATATGTTTTAACTTATATAATATTTTAAAGGGTCGGCATCATCTGCAACAAAATCATGTAGCAGAATTATGTTTTAATTTGGTAAATTTTTAGGTGGGGGAATATCTAAGTCTCCATTCTCAATCATTTTTGATAAATAATTTAGTATACACCTCCATCTGATTCACTGATAACTGCATACATCAATTACTATAAAAATACCTTTATCAACTACTAATGCTTGTAATATGCAGAAATATTGTTTATAATTGTAATATATGCCCCCCATATTTAGAAGGATTTTGAATCTCAATGTGCTTGCCATCGCCTTAACACAGTTTGGAAGGTTCCAAGACTTCTCATCATCAATTATTTAGAAGTCACATAATTCATAAGCTATTAATTATAATAACAAATAGTATTATCTAGGGATGTAATGGAACAAAAAAAGCATATTTTTAAAAAAAATTTTTTTCAAGTCTTAAAAACCCATTTTAATGAAATTTAGAAATAATTAAATGTTAAATACTTGTATACATTTTATACAGCATTCATTATCTTTATATCATGATTTTCCTATTTAAAATTATTTATTATGCCTCATTTACATCAAGCGCTTGTAGAAGGTTTCTTTACTCTAGGAAATATTTTGAGGAAAGGACACCAGCTTTAAATAGAGTTATTGTTTGACCTGTGCGCCACTGGACATTTTTGACACCCCGACGCCGCCGCCGATGTAAAAATTCGTCGACGAGGTGGCGTGTTACATATTTTTTATTAAAAATAATATTTATTTTATTTATGAATAATAAGAAAAATATTTTTTAAATTATTAAAAATTGCGGTTTTATTTTTTTGCTATAAATATTGATATGTGGGTCGATAAATATAGATGGCGAAATTATTTTACTTTTCTATTTTATGAAATAGATAATAATTTTAATATCGCATTTTATATATTGGCTACGCATCATGTCACTCATAAACATACCGCCTAAACTATTTTTTCCGAGATAGATAAAGTTTGAAAATGAATTAAATTTAGGGTCTAAGAAAATTCAAATGGTTACGGATGCAAGGTCCAATTTAAAAAAAGTGTTCATCTAGGAGAATATGACCATCATTTATGTTTGAGACATGGATTAGTGACAGTAAATAGATGGAATGAAAAAAATTAATAAAATGGAAAATCTCCTTAAAAAGTGAGAGAAATTATAGTTGTCTTAAGATTCAAAACAGCGGTATAATCGATATCGAAAATAGGAAATGCTTTTTATCGATATCATTTACATCGGATATTATAGATTTGGATGATATTGATTCTTTTTACGGAGTTCATTTTGGGTTTAATGATGATGGTGCAAATCAAAAATAATATGAGGAAAAATATAAAACCTTAAAACTAAATGTGCCTCACGTTGGCATAGTATTTTAATAATGCTAGAAAGTGTTAGTGACAATAACATAGATGGTTCTCCCATAGCATCCCTTAAACAAAATATGCTAAATAAATTTGATCATAGATCAATCCGATCTTTAGGTAGTATTAAAATACATAAATTAGTTTTTATTAATATTTCTCCTTTTTATTATTTTACTTAGGTGTTAGGATCACTTTGGATCAGAGATGTGAACCCGAACCCGGGTACAATAATTTTAAATTCCATTTAATGGTAATTTTGTTAACAGAAACTTAATCGAAACCGATTTCCTAAGAGGGGTCCGAACCTGTCCCAGGTCCATTTTACCCCGGGTTTAATGAGTTGCCCTAAATTGGTCTCGGTTTGTTCTATGGTTTCAAAATGCCCAACCAAACAATTATAAATTTCCTGAACCCGGATTCGGGTTCACATCCCTGATTTGGATCCTCGTTTTCAATCTATAAACATAGTAAGTGAATATTTAAAGGAAAAAATATTACTCCAGTGCAATTTTTATGTCAAAACGCTACCTCTCTGTTGCCTTACATAGACGAATTAACCGAATGTGAAACCGCATAAGTTCCTTCAGATTTCTATTTTATGATATTAGCTAACAAACATTCATCACAAAAATCTGGAACAAGACTATCTAACTAGTCTAAAAAAAGAGTGTTTCATTATTTTCGCCTTATAATTTAGAGATAAATGTTTTTATATTTTTGGAATTGGATCTTCCTAAACTTTCAATAATAGCTATAAAAGTCCCGTGTTCCAGCATCGAGCACACCTGGTGATCGTGCATTTTCCATAGTTGTGCTCACTCTCAACTCTAAAATATCATCATATGTCCTATAAATCTAAATAAAATAATATTTATACATGATAATTATAACTTAATAAAACCGTTAAATTATAGTTATAATTTAATTAGAAATTTCCATAGTAATGCATAAATTTTATTTTAAAAGTATTTCCAATAAATTCATAATTTTAATTAAAAAATTTAAGTTAGAAAAATATTAAAGGCTGCCGCGCCGCCGATAAGAATGTGAGCGCACAGATCTAGTTATTGTTTCTTATTAATCAAATAAAAATTTTGCCCATATTTATTAAAATAAATATTTATTTATTATTTTTTCAATGCAATTATATAATTATTTTATATATTAAAAATGCTGATTTATATATAAAATTTAAAAAATTAACTTTCAATATATTTTTAAGATTTTAACTATAATAGTTAATTTTAAAGGTAACTAATAACATAATAGTTAATAGATATAAATAATTTTAAAGCTCTTAAAAATATCGCATTTAGTATCCTAAGATTAAAATAATAAATATATTACAGATCTTATATATTATATCTTGATAAGATAATACCTAAAAATCTATTTATGCATATTACAATAAAGATCAAGACATCTTGTCTCGTTTCGTAACTTACGCATTCAGAAACACAGATTTTCCTACACTTCAAAATGCTTATCTTAGACGATCCGAAGGTTTAGTCCATTTCAATCGATTGATAAGAAATTTTATCACCCGAGAAGTTTCTCCAGCCGCGACTTCTGTTAACGAGGATTTTAACGTCTCAAACGTTGTACCAAGTAAAGAAGATCTCGTTATGCTTATGGACCGAATGGAGGCTGAGCTAGAACCTTTTTTGGATGAGATTTTTGTAAAATGATATTAAAAATATTTTTTTTTTATTTATAAGAATTAAGTAAATATATTGTACAAAATTTTAATCTTGAATTGCTAAAAATAAAAATGCTTATATCTTTATAACAATTCGATTTACTAATATCAATTAAAGAAATAATCATGACTATTATAATTTATATAGAGAGATTTACCCACTATCGAAGACATTGATTTGTCCGAAACCGTTTTGAAATATATCAACTCTGTTATGACTTACCTATTAATAACAATTTTCTTAATGCCTCAGGATCAAACAGGGTTAAAAAACTTAAACTTTATTAATTGCTATTATATAAAAAAATTTACCGTTACCATTTATGGAATTTTAATTGAATGAGAATTTTAAATTATTAGTATTTACCAAAAATTTTAAGCAGCCTGTCTTAAAAAAATTACTATACACCATTTTTATCTTGTTAAATTTTTTCATATTAAGAACTCCTTTTGACATGATAAGTCTTCTTACTAGTTGTGCACAGCAATTGAACGAATTGCTTTGCTGTGCATTGACTCAACCCTCTTCAGACTTACCCATTATTATTAGAAGATCGCTCAATTCATCATCCTCTTCTCTCAATTTCCCAATCATTGGAAGCAATAATGGGGCAGAAAATTTTCTGACAGGTATAGTAATGGATTGGCTACAGTCTTGCATCCTGACGTCCAGAGAAAATATTGATACTCAAGAGGCCCAATTCCTGAGATATTTCTACGTTGCTGACAAGTTTTTTTAGGATTATTAAATAATTAAGTTATTGGCCTTTAAAATATTTTTATACAAATGATTCAAGTTATCCTTTTAATCCTTTCAGGTGAACATGTTGATAATTTTTTCTTTTTGTTATAGTAAAAAAATTTTTTATCAATATAAAAAAATTTACTTTGAATATTTAATAAATGAGTGTGGATACGCTCACCCCCAGCCATATCATCTGTCGTAGAACTTTTTAAATAAAATTAGATGAAGGGGAACATTTCATTGATTATGTTGTGAGTAGGGATGTACCGATATTTTATATCGGATCGGGCCGATATTTCGCTCATTTTAAAATATCGGTTATCGGCAAATATTATAAAATTTTCCGATCTGATATAAAATGGCGCTTTTAACAAAATTTTAAAAAAGTTATATCTAAAAACCATTTATTTTTATAAATAAAATCGAAATACATTTTTATGTTTAATTTTTTTAATAGAAATAATTAGTTAATAAACATTCTGCAATATAGTTATTTTTTTTCGCAATCTGTTTAAAAAAGTGTTCATTAATCTCTTCAGTATCTGTTTTTAGTGATGCTAGTGATATTAACAGTCCCCATCACCGCCGACATATCTCTGATATAAAAAGAAATCTTCGATATATTAATTTTAAATATTAATTTCAAATTTCATAATATATTTTTTTATTACTAATTATGTAAATAGATTAATGTTATTACTTATTATATAAATAATAGCAATTGAATTGAATATAAACTATAACTGACCATTATAATATATTTAAATGACATATGTTATGGTATAGTAAAATTATAGATGTTGTACTAATAAAAAGTATATTAAAAATTAAAACCGGTATCTTTGCAGAATACAAAATTAGATATGATATCGGATCGGTTATCGGCCGATATTAATTTAATATCTAAAATATCGGATCGGATCGTCTTCCAAAAAGTGGTATCGGTACACCCCTAGTTGTGAGTATATAATATTTTTAATTTTATATAAAAAAACTATTTATATCTACAAATATAAAAACTATTTATATCTACAAATATAAAAACTATTTATATCTACAAATATAAAAATTATCCAACGACTCAACAGCACCCCTTTCCTTAGCTTGACTGTTAGTTAGTCCTATCAGGCGCTCTTTGCTGGATTTTCCACTGAACGTTCTTCTTCATCCTTAACAGCCAGTAATGGATTATTGTTCACAGCCATTACTGACACTTGGCAAAATCTCATTTAATGATTTACTCCACAAGCCCAGCCATCTCATCGTCGATTTTCTTCGTTTGTCCCAGCTCTGCCCTGTTTCTCTTGTCTAGCGATTAATCGAAGTATCTTGGGTCATCTCCCCATACCTTTGGTGTTGTGCTTCTTCTCTAGCAGCATCTACCCATCTTCTCGATTCTCTATCTCTCGGATCTTTATCTTGGCTATTTTGTTCCCCAATCGAAAGTATGACTCATCTATAAATAGAATTAACATGCGTATATATATATCCTCCCTTATCTCTATTTCTGTGAAATTCACCTACCTATCTTCATAATTTACTAATCTATCCTTCGTTACTCAACAAAACTTTTTATACTCATAACTTTACACACGTTGTTGAAAAACAACTAAATTGTGATTATCATGACCTTCGCACACTTTGTTAACAAAAACAACTAAATTATTTTTATCATCACCTTCACACACGTTGTTAAAAAAACAAGTCCAAAGCTACTTTTCTTGATAAACCTGCAGTGTTGTTAAACGCTACTTTTAAAAATAGCGCGCTACCGCTATCGTTTTCAAATGAGTAGCGCGCTATTAGCTACTTTGATTTTTTTTTTAATATTTTTTTTTTACGTAACTTTATTTCCACAATAATATATTGATATAAAAACATGACTATAATTTGTTACTTTATTTATTATTGCACTTTAATAATAATAACATTTCGGTACTGTCATCCCCAAGTCTAGAGCGACAATCAGAAAGTTTAAGCTTTGCCATACTAAATAATCGTTCAGCACTAGCACTTGAGGGCAACACAGTATTAAATTTAATAAACAAACTTTTTATAAAAAATCATCAAAAATATTTAAATTAGTATTTTTAGATTTAAAAAAAGCATCTAGAGTTTAATTAAAAATACTTCATTATAGTCTTTAATAAAAGTATGCTCCTCCACATTAAAATACTATATTCCCATTTGATTCAATATATAATTCATTTCCATTTTTTTCTCATCTAGAAACAATGCTAAAACACTATTCCATCTTGTAGTGTTTGGTGTCAATAAATAACGTCCTAATTTTTTTTTGAAAATATAAGACGTATTTGATAACTTATTTTGTTTATTCCAAAGAGCTTGGCATTTAGAAAATGTAGATCTTGATACTCTTTTAAAATCCTCATTTAATAATGCTTCTTCAGCATCCACTGTCGCAACTAAATTTAGGTTGTGGCAGGAACAACGATGATGGCTAGGTAACATAGAAGACTTTATTGAAGATCCTAAATATTATAAATTTTATTTTATATTGGTGAAAAATTAAATATAAAATAATTTAAAACCAAGGATGTCATGAACATCAATTATCTCAAACTCCATTTCATCATCCTCTTCTTGTTCTCCATCTTCAATATTTTTGTCAGGAATATTACTAGTATTGTTATTATTATTATCTTCCCCAAATATTCTATATTATTTATATCATATTATAAAAAAATTGTAATAAATTTAAAACCTGAAGGCCTTCAGGAAATTAGACCCATTATCCGTAATCATCTTACAAACCTTGTTTTGAATTTTGTAAGACCTATGGATTTCTGCAATAATACTAGAATGTCATAAGTCTGACAGCCAATTATTCTCTTTAGAGCTAACGCTACAGATTTTCGTTTAAGATTTTAGGATCAATCCAATGTGCAGTTACTCCTAAATAAGCTCTAAAAATATGACATATTATAAATCAGAAAATAAACATTTTTACCTTTTATTGTGAAGCAATCTGCCGTTGTACAGACGTAGGAGACATCTTGATAGATTTAATATCAAAGATTCTTTCATTTCCTTAAAGCTCTCCAAAATTCTTGCCATCAATGTCTGCCGGCAAAATATCTTGGTCTGTGGAGAAAAAGTGTTTATCATCTTTATAAAAGAATCATTATCCACCAAGGATAATGGTTGAACTGTATCTATTATAAAGTTCATAATGACTTTATCAGCCAATTTTTGGGATACACCAGGTGTTGATGAATCCAAATTGGTTAATTTTGTTTGTATTAAATTTGATTTGGAAGTGGGTTTATCTTCTTCCATTACCCCAAAACTTTTGAGATATTTTTCAATCTCTTTATAATTTGAAGTGTGCACAGTCTAAAATTATAAAATACTTAGAATAAAAATTATGTAGGAGATAAGTACATAAAAATGATTGAAATAACTGTTTTAAAATTTTTTAAATAATTTAGATAAAATTTATGAATATATAAAAAAAATGATTGGTTTTTGATTTTAATTTATTTTAAAAATTAAAGATTAGCCTACACATTGATATTAAATTTGTTTAATATATTACCTTTAAATGTTTTTTCAAATTAAAGCTGCTCGTATGATTTGAAGAGATCTTGCACCGAAACCGATATCCAGTATTAATTTTTTCTTCAAGGTTAAAGTATTTCTTGAATTTTGGGAAAGGATCATCTATATTTTGCTCATTTTCCAAAGAAATTTCAATATCTTCAACAATCTCACACATAACAAGATTTATAATGCTTAATATAAAATGAAATATAAAATAAGATAAAAGCAAGGACATACCAATAACGGAATTTCAAAAATATATAATTTAATGAATGCGCAAAATATAAATTAAATACAGATTGCTATTTAACAACTGTTTATATCTAATATATAACAATAATGTATATTTTTAAATATAAATTTCAAAATTAAATTAAATAAAAGGATTATAATTTTAGATTTTATAAAAAATATATTTTAATAATTTTTAGATGTATTTATTATGTAATTTAAATTAGTAGCGAGTTACCGCTATCAAAAAGTAGCGCGCTATTTTAACAACACTGTAAACCTGAAACTTACTGACAAATTCATCCATTTTGAACCTGCATCTACCATGATGACATCTTTTCTTGTCATATTCTTAAAAATCTGCATGTATTCTTTTACATAGAATTAGTCTGGCCATTTATCTTCCTTATTTCTTGATGGTACATTGGTCACTTGTTGAAGATATCACAACTCTTAGCTAATACTTCTATCTCACTATTGATTTTGGACCATTAAACTTACTCTCATGCTTTATTCATCATTCTCTCTAGCATTGATGTCGGGCATGCACAGCTGCTATTATATCCTTTCTTAACGAATCAGGAATTACTAAGCGATATCTTCTCGTTAAACAATTATTCTTTATACTTAATTCATCTTTATATTTTTGAACGCTTTGTCTTCATTTTATGTCTTCTTTCAAACATGCTCCTATTCTCATTAATTCTTCATCTTGCTTGAATATTTTATCTACCAGGTCTATAGTTAAAGGTCTTTCTTTTGCATTTACTTTCAACGCTCATCTTCTACGTTAAACTGCTCTAAACTATTAATTCTGGGCTCTATTTCTTCGTCTTCTATTTCCTTAACAAACAGTCTTGATAATATATCTGTAAACAATTTTATCTATCTGCACTGAATCTTATAGTTTGTTAAACGGCTCATTTTGAGCCGATTTTACAGAAAAATATTGCCCTAATCCTCGAGATTTCGAGAATATATGCCTAGATCTTTGTTCCTTCTATGAACAAAATCTTCAGGCTTGTGCAATATTTTTCTGGATGAAATATTGAGTTAGCCGTTTTTAAAAATCGGCTCAAAACGAGCCTAGAATCTTATTTCAAAATTGAAATTACCAACCAATATCAAACATTTTTGTAACCTGGATGAAATCATCAATTCCTTATTGTCTTTTTGAACAAATCTACAAT